AGAGGGTCAGAGAGAGGGAGACACAGAATCGGAAACAGGCTCCAGGCTCTGAGCCGTCAGCCCAGAGCCCGACGCGGGGCTCGAACTCACGGACCACGAGATCGTGACCTGGCTGAAGTCGGGCGCTTAACCGACTGCGCCACCCAGGCGCCCCGGACAACTTTTTCTTAAAGGCGGTCACGTGAAATGAAGCCTGCCGTTGCCCCCATCTCTGGGGTCCCTTCGGCGTCCTGTCCCTGGGCGGTTGGCCGAGCTGATCTTGGCAGGGCCCTCGCCGTTCTGGCATCCTGTGATCTGGTTACCGTACGAAACTGGCTTTGGAGAAGTCCCCGAGCCCCTCTCTTGGCCCCCGTGATCGTTTTCCTTCAGTGGAACGGAGGTTACTTGTCTAAGAACTGAAGCCTCTGACCTGACGGATGGAAGTTTATCATGTGCATCGAAGCCACCTACTTGGCAGATGCAGTGAGGAGCTGCACAGATCTGGGCCCGGGACAGGATGCTGACGCGTGGGAGGGGAAGAGAGCAGGTGCTAACTATACAGAGAGGGTGCCTGCCGGAGCACTTTGTTACATTTCCTATTTGTCTCTCAAAACAATTTTATAGGAATCACCAAAGTGATCTCATCATGGTTTCTTGACCAGGTTGGGATGTGGGGTAGGGATTTCCACAGCTGCTTTTATTTTGAAGGCAATCTGATAAGAACGACGCAAAAACCATTGAGAAATGCATAATCCTACACCCCTCAATGATTCAATGTGTTGTCAAAACTTTGGGTGTTTTTGACGTTGTTGTTCTCTTGGTTTTTACTAGCGTGTAAGGAGGTAACAATTATTTCGAAAACTCACTCTCTTCGGCTAAACCAATTCCCCCAAATTCAGGGCGACTTGTTTGTCTATTGCTTAACGCGTCTCAAAGATCTTTTGTGCACCTTTTTTGAAGTTTTTTTTTTTTAACGTTTATTTATTTTTGAGACAGAGCGAGACAGAGCATGAACGGGGGAGGGGCAGAGAGAGAGGGAGACACAGAATCCGAAACAGGCTTCAGGCTCCGAGCTGTCAGCGCAGAGCCCGACGCGGGGCTCGAACCCACGAGCTGTGAGATCATGACCTGAGCCGAAGTCGGACGCTTGACCGACGGAGCCACCCGGGCGCCCCTGTGCACGTTTTTATTTGATCTTCACAACAGCCTGTAGGCTAGGCAAGGCAGCTCTTTGGAGATGGGGAAACTGAGACCTGGAGAGGTCAAGTGATTTGTCTGAGGTCCATAGCGATTTGTTGGTGGAGCAAGGACTAGAATTCAGGTCTCTTAACTGGAGCCTATTGTCTCTATTCCGAGCCATTATCTGACAGATTAGAACAGCGTAGACAAGCAATCCGGCTAAGTCAAGCCAAGATTCCCACTTTAATCTCGATCCCAGAGTTTGGGACTGATTTCTTTCAAGACCCTACTCCTCTTGGCCTTGGAGAAATTTATTTTTCTCGAATTACCTTTCCAGCTAAATTCTGTTTAATAATTGTCAGCCCTCCTTTGTGCTTTATGCCATGCAGACCCGACTTGACAAGCTTCTGGGATTTCGTTGGGTTTTAAAGATGAAAGGAGTCTCGAGGAGCAATTCGCCAGTGGCCCAGCAGCCACAAAATCAATCCAAACTTTTGTTGACGTTTGTTTCTTTCCCCATACGCCAGGTTCCTGGGTGGTATTAGTAAGATTGAAATTGAAATAAGTCGGTTGCTGGTGGATGAATTTGTCACTTTCCTTGAAACTGGTGAACCCAGAAAGTTAGCGATAGGAAAAACACTGCCATTGTCTGTTAAGAAGCCTATGACATTTCAAGGCAAGAATGAATGTATGGAAGAAGAAACTTGTTTCTTCTTTACTAACAAAAGGGAAAGCCTGGAAGGGAATGATATGGGTAGAATTAAAAAAAAAAAAAAAAAAAAGGAAAGAAAAGAAAAACCTTTACGTAACTTTTTTTTTTTTTGCTGGGAGAGAAGACTGCGAAACACAATTTCCAGGAAGTGTGGGCTGCAACGATTGTGCGCTCTTAACTAATCCTGAGTAAGGTGGCCACTTTGACAGTGTTCTCATGCTGCTGCTGCCACCTCCTCGGTCTGAAGATCTCGTTCCAACTCTAACACAGCATGATCGAAACATATAGCCAAACTGCTCCCCGCTCCGTGGCCCCTGGACCACCCGTCAGTATGAAAATTTTTATGTATTTACTTACTGTGTTTCTCATCACCCAGATGATTGGGTCAGCACTCTTTGCTGTGTATCTTCACAGAAGACTGGACAAGGTAAGACGAACCACAAGCCCTTATTAATTACGTGTGGGGGTCCTTACCGCCGGGCGGGTCGGTTGGGGTCCGTTCTGCCCCGATGGGCAATGGTAGGAACCCAGCTAGAGACATGGTCTTGTGGCATCACGTTCGGCACCTCGTCCTGGAGGACAAGGTGTCCTCTTCTGGTCTCTGGGCGAGAGCCTGGGCTCTGGAGTCAGACTGCTTGGGTTCAAACCGCGACTCGGCTCCCTACTGGCCCCGTGATCCCAGGCAAGTCATTTTTTATTTCTAGGCCTCAGTTTCCACATTCGAGAAATGGGGACGAGAGTAGTGTCCACCCCGCAGGTTAAGTGAATTTGGCCTTTGTAGCAAGCTTCGAACAGGCTTTGTCCTATGTGGACACTAGCTGCGGTTATTCGCTCAAGTTTTGCTTAAAAACTACACTTTTCTTCTGCTAGAGACAACTTTTGTTTTTTAATTGCCGACTAGAGGAGAGTGTGAATTTGATCTGAAACGTCCTAGTGCTCCAGAGCAGCGCAGACACGGCTAAGTCCCAGAATTTGCACATTTACGGCAAACGTGGCATTCTCTCTGTAATTCCCCAAACACTGATGGTAGCTGCAAGCCCCTCAGTCTCCCTCTGAGGGGTTTTACCTTCTTAAGCGGCTGGACTTCCAGGAACAGAACAGTGGAGCAACTTAGCAGGCGGTTTTGCATCCCGAGGGAAAAATAACCGTTAGGATTTATCCTGTCTCCGTGTGTCTTTCCACTTCCCCCGCGGGGCATTGCCGGCCGGGCCAACAAAACATCGATCCTATATGAAGAGGAGAAATCTGATCAATTATCTGGCTGGTCCGAAAAGTCTGGGTGTAGGAATGGTGGGCGTTCGGCCTCCGGAGGCTGCATGTTCCCAGGGATGTTTGAATGCCCTCTGTTGGGAGGCCAGCCTAGAACTAAGGCCGTGAAGGTTACCATCAGGATAAGGAGGGGCAGGGATGGTCGAGGCCATCTACTGGGTTAGTCAAGTTTTAGCTTTCACAGCTGCGAAAAGGGGGGGGTTCTGGGTCTGTTTGTTTGTGTTTGGCCTGGTGGGCTCTTTCAGTCAAATGCACAAACTAAAATGAAGTAGGCAAACGAGCTCAGCAGAAAACTGTTTTATAGACTGGGCTCACAGTGACCGATCATTACTGGACCAATGAGGGATAGATCATTCTAGAATATTGCTGCTTATCATACGTGGACAAAATGCACACTTCGTGATGGAAGTTTATTAGAATGGCTGTGATTTCTACCTGGACTTTCAGATAATATGGCGTTTTAATTGCTGCCTTTGGTGATTACACTGACAGACGTCATTAGCTGCATGTTCCAGAATTATGTTTCTCATGTCCCTGTCCCTTCACAGATAGAAGATGAAAGGAATCTTTATGAAGATTTTGTGTTCATGAAAACATTACAGAAATGCAACAAAGGAGAGGGGGCCTTATCCTTACTGAACTGTGAGGAAATTAAAAGCCGGTTTGAAGCCTTTCTCAAGGTAAGGAGCCCAGTTGTTCGTTAAAGTGTCATCGAAACGCTTTACTGCTTTTGCTAGGTCGGGAGACGGAAACCTGGCAATGTAAAAGTGTAGACATTTGTTTCATACACCTACATACGTAGGTGCATACATACACGTGGGTAAAGGTATCCCCCTCTCCCCCCTCCCCCCCCCACAAAAAGAAAGGAAAAATGTCCTCTCCCGGGGACATTACACGCTCTCACGGCCGCATTCGCACACATCATGGGCTCACACATGCAGCCGCCTCTGTGAACGTGATGAAGGACACCGACTTTGTCCTCCGGTATTTTCTTGTCTTTCCATCCAAACCTCGATGCCTTCTCACTGGGGACCTGTGGCCACGTTATGGTCCTGCCTTCACCACGCTAGGTGGCTACGGTGGGTACCAGGGACTTCGCGAGGCTGATGCTCTCACACTGGAAGGAATGTTTCTCCGGTGACAGAATTTCAGGCGCCACCAAAGGGAGGTCTTTTCCTTTGCTCGCGGGGAGAGGTGTGGGGAAAGGGGGACGGACCTTCTCGGTGCCGCTCACACCAGACCCTACATAACACCACTTGCTGGTGAAGCCAGTCCACCCTAGGGCCGGGCAACACCTGAGACAGACAGAGGACCCAGCAGGAAATCACTGTAGTCACTGGGGCCTCTAAAGGGTACCCCAAACAAGAAGTTTTAGAATGTCATTTACAACATGGACTCCATCATCACGGACAAGGAGTCTAGAAGCTCCTTCTCCTGAGGCAGAGCATCAAAAAAGTCTTTCTGCCTGTTCTGCTCTCAGAGCACTAAGTACCCTTGGCCCTCAGCTAGCTTTGGGGCCGTGAATAGGAAGCAGCTCCCCACGTTGAAGGCAGTTTTGTGCCAATCGGGGGGGGGGGGCGGTATCTAGATAAGCCAACAGGAGTTGGTTCTCACGTATAAATGATGTATAGTTTAGGGACTCCTGGGTGGCTCGGTGGGTGAAGCATCCGACTCTTGATTTCAGCTCAGGTCACGATCTCACGGT